GACAACCCTGCACCAGACAGAGCTGTCGGCGATTCTTCCTATTGTAAAGTCATGCAGTGTGTAACCTCCTGTCGTTCCATCGTGCAGTGTCAACACAGCAACAACTGAATGCTACCCCAGATATTCGTTCAGTGTGAAACCAACAGTGATGCGACGTCTTTGAAAATCGTGCAGTGTGAACTCGGCATTACGTGTGTGAGAGACGTCTCACCGTCGTCATCAGATGAGACCTGAAGACGCGTCTGTATGTTCGTGACGTTCAGACAGGTTCGTCCTCTTTCCTTCATTCAGGCTCGTGTAGACTCTTATCATATATATCTTATATATATAAATAAAAAAAAAGTGACAGCATGAGTGGGGGATTTTGTATTCAGGCATTTAAATTATATTGGCACAATACTATAATTATTGAGTTATAAGAAGTTTGAATAAATAAAACAAAACACAACTTACCTTTCCAGTGAGATCTGGCAACAATGATTTTTTATTATACATTAGATTGGATGCTTAGGCTGTGAACTCACCAACAGAGGATGCAAAGTTTACACACAAAGTCTCTCAGAAGTGACCGCGGTCTCTCAGAGCATCTGTGTCTGTCTGTCTTTCTGAGAGATTATCTGAGAAGCTGCTCTGCCCTGTAGCTGTATGCAATCTGTGTCATTTTAGCATTAGGAATCATTTGCATGTTGATCAGAAGGCATCATTCTCCTTTTTATGGCCTCTGACATCTGCATCACACATTCGCTCTGATAAACTTCCCTATAACGACAAACTGAGGCATTGTGGGTAATAACCAACCACACTATACTGATTTCTAAACTCTCTGTTGTATTAGTCTAAAGGAATCCACAGGCACTGTGATGCTTATTGATACTATTTTAGTATCGGCAGGGGTTTCACATGATTGTTGGCATCATCATAACCAAAAGCAGAGCAGAATTTAAATATAAACGTGTGGCTTTCGTTCTAGGATTTTATTCACAGTAAAATAAATAAACAAATAAAACTTAGAAACCCAGACAATTCCTTTCTACTAGTTTCATATTGCATGAATTAGTAGATGAATTAACATATTTAAATAAATAAATAAAATAAGAAAATAATTCCTGCACAGTAAGCAAATAAATAAATATAAATCTTTTGAACTTGTTAATCAAACAAAGATTATTGAATTGTTTTACAAGAAAATACTATTTCAGCTTTTATACTTCAAAATTTCACATTTAATTCAATGTGTTACTTGCAGTTTATTTGTAATTATTTGCAAAATTTACTAGTATATATTTGCATTTACATTTAGTCATTTATATTATGGAACATATAAATATTTTATGGAATTTATCAATATTTTGGAAGCCATTTAAACCAGAAAATATTATATGTATAAATTATAAAATATGATATATATTTTTTTCTTTTTTAAGTTAGTGCTGATTATAACAGTGCTTGGCTGTAATGTCTGTGAAAATCCCATGATCGGGATGTTTGAGCGTCTGTATGTCATCAGTCCGAACCCCACGCATGAAGTGTGTGAGCAGTGACATCATGTGGTGATGCGAGTCATTACGGCTTCACTAATTAGCATAAACGTCTCGGGCTACAAATAATCAATGCATTTGAAAACATCTGACACAAGATAAACATTCTCTCTGGGATACTGAGATTATGAGTAATGCACAGGACTAAAAATCTCTAGCATATGATTCAGAGTATGCTTGAGTTAACTTTCATTACACTCAGCCCTAAAGACCTTTCAATATATTTCATGAAAATGATCATAGCAGCGTGCGGTGAAAAGAAGATAGAGTTGATCTGAAAAAACATTCTGGGTTAATGAAAAGTCATTTCCACAAGCCTTGAAGAAAAATACTTTATTTCTTTATAAATCCACAGAGTACCTATGAAAGCATAAAATTCCATCCCATATTATTATTATTTTTGTATTATTATTATTATTTTCTCCTTGAAATCAAATGAATAAAATCAGAGATGGCTGAAGGTGTACTTCACATACAAATATGTCCACAGTCAGTTGGAGGGAAAAAAAAAGAACAGTGTTTATTTCAGCAGGCCGACTGTCGAAGAGTATTTAGCACGGCCTACGCTGCTTTCACACAGTCTGCTGTCAGATACAGAGCTCTCAACAGCGTCTTACCCTCAATCCTTGTTGATACGGGAGATTGGAAAAGTTTTAGTGCATTGTGATAATCAATGTTCTCTCCTGTTTGACCTAATCTCCAGATCCAGAGAACACACTCGCCATGTTTGTTAATCAGCTGAGTATCGATCCGCGTGTTCGGTTTCTCAATAAAGAGAGAGAGAGCGAGTCATTAGCCGAGACAATACAGAGGAATCCATAATAAAGTGCTCCAGAAGGTCCATAAATGTTAACTCGAGACTGACTCGTCAATATGTCATTGAACTTCGATAAGTCTGTATCCGCACGAGCCTTCGGGAGAGCATTAAATCCACACGTTTCAATCCTTTGGCACTGCTTCACTTAACACTGATATTTTGTTTTAATATTTCCCACAAAAAACAACCGGAGAGCGTTTCCCTCTCTTTTCCCACTGAATGATTTGATGGTTCTCCTCTCTCGGGAAAATGACCTCTGGTTTAAAATAGAAAGCACTGCTCTTATGCACTGAAGAGGCACATAATGTCCACGGTCTGGGGAGAGTTTTGCATAAAGAATTGAACACGGAGTGCCTTCCGACCGCAGCTTGTCCTACTAATAGACTGGATCCAATCCCATTTAATCTGGCGTTCTGCGTTTGGCTTCCAGATTGTGAGCTTGCCTTGAAAAACAACAGAGGCATGAGATCAGATTCAGCAGCGCAATAATTCAGAAACACATTTAATCATCATTCAAACAGATAGATGCAAAGGAAAAAATTGAAAAGGAAAAGACAGTGAACTATTGCAGAAGATATTCCACTGCTGATAAAGTGACCTTTACAGATTTTTTACACACATCTGTCTCGGTTATCTGCCCTGATGCACCGCAGACAGATACAAATGACCCGCCAATCACCCACTGCACTAAAATTGAATGCTTTTAAGCCTATACAGATAGCTGGTTGATTGCACTAAAATTGAATGCTTTTAAGCCTATACAGATAGCTGGTTCATTAAAAATTTAATTAAATGTAATAAAAAAATAACAATTAAATAATAAAATTTTTATTTTATAAAAAAAAAAATAATAATAAAATTTGTAATTAAATAATACAAATTACTAATCATTAAAATAAATATTAATAATGATTCAAAATTATTGGAAAACATTTTTTAAAATTCTCATATTTTTGGGAGCAACAACGTGCCTTAAAAAAAAAAATATATATATATATATATATATATATATATGTTTGTGCTTCGTCCTTTATTTGTGCGCTCATGAAGCTAAAAATCAGAGCAGGATGCAAACAACACTAAGGCCATGGGATCAATTCCCAGTGAACACTGACACTGAAATCTGATCACAATCAGTCACAGAAGATGCATAAACAGTGATCTGTCTCTCCTGGCTGCTTGTGATCTGACACCAGGTGTAAACTGGGCCTAGGAGAATCACTGAGTGTGTTTTTACACACTGTAAAAGTCTCATTTCAGTCAGAAAAAAAACAAACAAAAAAAACTGAAATAGTCTGTATTTTTTGCAAGGTCTGGCAAACTTGTCAAACTGAGGTTCGCGAGTTGCTGAAAAGCTAATAATTAATAAAATCATAAAATTTAAAATTTAAATAAATAATAAAAACAAAACTAAGTAAAACACTTGCACCTGCATGTCATGTGATTATTTACCATCATCAGAGAACCATGAATATGCAAATGTTTTGTTAAATATAAATAAATAAATAAACTACCTAACCAACCAACTAGCTAGCTAAATAAATAAATTCCAGATAAATAAAAAAATTTATTAATGAAAAAAAAACACTAGATCATGGTGCTAGCAACGCCAGGGTCACAAGTTGATCAAATGCATAGCTTGGTCAAATGCAATGCAAGTCAGTTTAAGAAAAAAATAACTTAAGGGTAAACTAATGTAAATAAACGCAGCTTCATAATGCAATTGTAGCTTGGCTTTGTCTAGCATGCATACAGGTTAACGCTGCCATATCAGCACACATTATCACATCCAGAGGAAACAGCAGCCGAGGAAACGCAAACGATTTCCTCACAACATCAGCTGAGTTTGCATAACCAGACAGCGCGGGTGACTATACATAGTGCATGCTAATTGGACATTTAACGACTTCATTAACTGCAACCATCATCAATTTGCTGAGACTTTCCTCCCAGATTTAATGCAGAACTAACAAAGCCTTCAGCAGCAGCAAGAACAAGGCCTGGTATATGTTGCGGCTCTAGTTATCTGCAGAGAGCTGCTAATGCTAGGCCTTATTCAGACGCCTATTTTTAGCGCAGTGTGTCCTGCTGCAGTCTGGAGGGATTCTGGTTCCAGGAGGTTGCGGTCCATTTCTATGGCACACGACAAACAGTAATTACCTTCTACTATAGTTCTGCTGGTATTCCACAACAGCCCACCCCTCAGATTAGCCCATTTGTCTCAATATGTGAGACGCTAGACCTTCACCCTTTTATCTCAATCTCTAAACCCCATCACAATACTCATATCTGCCCTCTTTTCTTCCATCATAGCGCCTTTAACTATCTCCGCAGCTCTTTGCCAGGCCTTGTATCTCTATCCCCGCATCCCAATCTATCCCCTTTCACACTGAGCTGAAGGAAATGTAAATCCATCTGAAGCAAATAGAAGAAAGAGCTCTAATTGTGCACTAATTTTAGAAACAGGTCCTGCGTTTGAATCCATTGCGGCACATTAAAACATTAGATCATGATTCAGCACTCAGTTGAGCTACAGACAGGGTTAGAAATCAACATCCGCAAACCTGTGGTTCATTTCGGGTGTTTCGGGTGGCGGTGAAAATGAACCGAAGCAGGTAACACATATAAACTCACTAGACAGTTTGGTGGGTTATGATTCATAAATGTTCTCCAACCAGGAGCCTCAAACATCAATTTTTTTTTTCCCTACAAAAGACATTAGTATTAGAATGACGCATGAACTAACAAATTCAATTTTTTAAAATATACTTCATATTTTTGTTAATGTTTAAGAATGGAGAAATGATACTGATCAGTTTCAAGAATCACAATGATTACTCATTTCAAATCAATTTTATTCATCGAGTAAATTGGAATTAAAACAATCGCCGACAGTTGAACCAAATGTAGTTCAAATCTACTTAATTTTTTATTTACATTTACTCAATTTATAAGGTCTGTCTAATTGATTTCACTGCTTTAAAATGTACTCACTATTTTTAGGTGTAAAAATTATAGTTGAAGTTTAATTTAAAAATTGTGGCAAAAAAAAGTCTCTGGCCAGAGACAAATAAAGCGAAACATCAAACACCTCCACATTGAATGATCCAGAGGTGCTGACAGGAGCTTTGGGGCATTTCAAAATCAAATCAAGCTCTGGAATAAAAGATGGATGTTTGTGCAGGCCATAAAAGGTGATTTAACTCAAAAGTCTTTCAACCTGATCAGACGGAAACTCTTTGTTCACCTAATTGTACAGGCAGAACATGGTGTCTAGAAGCCGTCTGAAGTTCCTCCTGACAGTGACCCTGACAGACACCTCTGCCCTTCAGATTTCTGTCCACCGGAGGCTCTGTTTCCCCCCGAAAAGAGGCGCTTCAGCCTGTGCTTTCCCCCCGGCCCATTCAGGGCTCCTCTGAGGCTCCTCAATAGAAGGCAACCGTGACCAATTGGCTGAGGTGGCTCTCCCCTGGTTCTGTTAAATGGCCTCCTCTCTCGGATCTGAGAGCCGAGGTGGTCCACCGCCGGACATTATCCACACTGCTCTAAGAGCGAGGAACCTGGCCGACCTAGATTGTGCTTCCAAGGGCGTTCGGGCTTTGACTGAAATACAAACCGATGCCTCTAGTGCTGCTGGTTGGTTTAGCAAGAAGGAAGATAGCAGGAAGAGTGACTGAAAATGCTGCATGAAAATGGGAAATGCTGTGGTTTGGATGCTGGATGTTCTCACCATGCTTCTCATCCAACATTGGTAGCTTGACAAAACATTGCATCTAGAGATGCAATACGGCCAGTATTGCAGATGTATTTAATGTATCCTTATCAGTCAATACTGGTTATTTAATTGCTCATGCACTGTTAAATGTAATCTTCAGCAAGTCTTCAAATGAAAACCCATTTCTGTAGCTCAAGCATTAGAGTATTGCATTAGCAATGCCAAGGTCATGGGTTTGTTGCAGGGAATGCATTAACTGATCAGAAATAAAACTTGAATGCAATATAAGTTGCTTTGCATAAAAGCGTCTACCAAATGCATACATGTAAATGTATTTATTTATTAAATTTTTTTGTAGAATTTAATATCCAGTATTTATCAATTATCAGCCATAACTTGAAAATAATTAATGACTGATTTTGTTGGAGATCTCAGACAAAAGCACAAAATCTGGCAAATTGATGCTTTTTACATAAGTGATGCTATGTTTGAATGATCAAAGTTGTGAACTGAGAGAAACACAGATGCTGGCAAACTCATTCAGGCTTGGAATGACAGGGTGAGTAAATGACAGAATTGTCATTTTTGGGTGAACTGTCCCTTTACATCTCTCCTGGACTCATAATACTGTGTTGAAGTGGTAATTTAAACACAACCCTGCAAAATACCAATATTTAGACGCATGACTTGCACCTCGCAAAGGAAAACAGTAATATGTGTTATTCCATACCCAGCAGGGATATTCATAACATACACATGAGTCTAATTTACTAAAATGTGCAAACCATAGGATTCCTCTCCTTTTCATTGCAAACATCCAAACTAGGCGTAGTGTTTCAATTTTACGCCTTTGTAATTCAAATGCATCCTATTGAACGAAACAACTGTCAGGCTAGCAATTTAAATAGTGATCTCAAGTGCACCGTACCATTCGGGGAATCTTTTTAGGCCTGTTACCCTGACGCAGACAGACAGCAGAGCCGCTATGCCTGTAATTTATCCATTAAAGCAGGTCTAATTAACAGAACTGGAACATCTCTGCATCAGCAGCACTGTAGAGTGGGGAGATTCTATCCCGGTTGCCTAGCAACAAACCTTAACAGATAGAGGAGACGAGAGAAGAGCGTCCTCACCTTGGACAGGAGAAAATCCTCCGTGAGGCTGCAGGACGCCGGCAACAGAAAAGAAACAGAATGAGTTGAGATGTGAAGAGAATGGGAAGGGAGGCGGGATCGAACCCTGTGTTATTGCGAAATGGAGTCGTCCTCTTTGACCGATTTCCCGTATTCCGGGTTCAAGTCCACCACCGTGGTCCCTTTAAGTGCTCCGTAACCCCCCTCCAGGCCGTGGGACCCTTCTTGTCTGTCCGACCCGAGCGGGACGGAAGGCTTGCTGGAGGATCCCAAGGACGAGGACGAGCGCGGTGGAGGACACGACACTGCCCCCTGCTGGCCACCGTTGGTCTGAGAACAAACGTTACTGACGCGAGCCGCCTTCAGCTTGTAGTGCTGGCTGTGAAGCTTGTACTTCATCAGCAGGATGAAGATGAAGACGAGGACCGACGCCACGATGATCCCGCCGATGATGATGATCATGGTGCCGCCGAGGAACTGGTCGTGGATGGAGCGGCAGTGGCGAAACTCGCGCTCCGTGGAGAAGGACACGCAGCCCACCAGCCGCGTCGCGGTCAGAGCCGTGATGCCGTCATCATAGACAGCCAGGACACAGAGCTCATAGTCCCGTGACGAAGCCAGATCACTCAGTAAGAACAACTTATGGGAGGCGGGAATCATTCTGAGAGAGAAAGAGAAAGAGAGAATCAGGCCTTGAGCATTTAAAAAATAAAGACTTTTGTGCTCACCAAGGCTGCATCTATTTGATTTAAAAATACGGTAAAAAACTGTAATATTGTGAAAAAATATTTCAGTTTAAAAGAGCTGCTTTCTATGTGAATATCTGTTAAACTGTAATTTATTTCTGTGAACAAAGCTGTATTTTCAGCATCATTACTCCAGTCTTCAGTGTCACATGATCTTCAGAAATCATTCTAATATGATCATTTGCTGCTCAAGAAACATTTCTGATTATTATCAATGTTGAAAACAGTTGTGCTGCACAATATTTTTGTGGAAACCGTGAAAAGTTTGGGGTAAGATGTTTTGAAAGAAATTAATACTTTCATTCAGCAAGGACACATTAAATGCATCAAAAGTGACAGTAAATTATTTTTTTCTATTTCAAATAAATGCTGTTCAGTGAACATTCTATTCATCAAAGAATCCTGAAAAAAACTGTTTGCAACATTGATAATAATCAGAAATGTTTCTTGAGCAGTAAAACAGCATATTACACTGATTTCTGAAGATCATGTGACACTGAAGACTGGAGTAATGATGCTGAAAATACAGCTTTGACTCACAGAAATAAATTACAGTTTACTATATATTCACACAGAAACGGGTTATTTTAAATTATAATATTTCACAAAATTACTGTTTTTATCTGTATTTTTATCGAATAGATAGATGCAGCCTTGGAGAGCTGAACAGATCAACTACATTTTAAAATATATTCAAATAGAAAACAATTCTTTATATTGCAATAATATTACACAATATAACTTATTTCACTGTTTTTGATTAAATAAATGCAGCCTCGTTGATCATAAGAGGCGTAAATTACATTTTAAAATATAGCAAAATTGAAAACAGTACAGAGAATATTTTTTTTATATTATTGCAATTTTATTTAGCTGTCAGAGTCCAAAGTTAACCCAATGTAATGTAATGCAATGTAAATTGTAGTTGTAGGTTGTAGTGAGTAAATAAAACATGTTAAACTGCATGATTATTACCTTTGCTGATGTTACATGACCTGCATGATTCATATCAAAGATGTACAAACTCCATACTAAAGTGTAAAACTCACATTCGCGGCTTTTTTTTTTGTTTTATGAATATAGGGCCTACTGTATTATATTGCATATAAATAAAAAATGACACTTCATGTCAAAAGCATACCTGCGTAGCGTATGGGAAAGTGATCGTATGGGTCACTGAGCAACTGTATGAAAACACAACCTGAGTGTCCAGCCAAAAGTAGATTTTTTTTTTTTCGTTTTTAAATAATGCAGGTGTTTTAAATATTTTAAAGATGTGCTGATTTTACTGAGATATAGTCGGTTTTTTTTTCTCTCTCTCTCACCTAAACGCACACTATACTATTCCCAAACCAAGCATTTGAAGAAATGGCATAACTCGTTCAAAGATTAAAATGTTTGGAAAATATTTTACTTGAATCCTGTATATATAACGCATTATAAAAGTGCACGTGGATAAAAGAGCAAGTTCACAGATTTTCAACTGAATGCTCTCTTTGTATTGTTACAATATCTGTAGTGTAAGTTCACTCTCTGGAAAAAAAAAAGTTCCAAAGCTGTCAATAGGGCCTTTCGCACCGCGGGAACCTTTTCATAGTACCAGAACTAATTGTGGAACTACCCACTTTTTGGCGTTTTCGCACCGCCTGAAGTTGGTGCGATTTTACCCAGACAGCAGACAGTTTCGGCCCCGATCCGGCCCACATCTGGCCCGCCTGGATTTCACATGGGGCCGATATGGGCCGG